AACCCTCATAAACTTAATATCAATATACAGGGTGTCCCAAAAAATATGACATCATTTCGCAGGCCAATAATTTTGGCAATTCTTGTTGAAATACAGTAGAAACCCTTATATCCGGAGTGCTTCATATCCATAATCCCGCATATCCGGACAAGACTTTGATGTGTATAGTTGAACTATTTGGGTGATATGTAACTGAGATTGGAAATTCACTTTGGATAATTGCTTATGTTTATTTCACCCTAATGACTTGTATTGGTGCAAAAGATAATAGGAATACGAGGAGTTATCGCAAAGAAACTATTCTCCAACATTCACACAGTCACAATGAACAAGGAAATAAAAAAAAATGATTGTGATGAAACCCGGACTGAAATTGAAAAAAGCTATTGAAAAGGTTGTCAGTTTTATGGAAAGAAAGTCAACATTCAGCTATGACGATTGCAATAACGTACGCAGATTTAAAAAGGGTCTTTCTTTTAAAAAATTTCAAGAATAAAACCAAAACGAAATGCGGAAAAAGTTGAGAATGACATTAGAAGAGAAAGAATCCTCATGCAACAGCGATTAAAAATCCACGTTACATTATTTGTTTTGCATACGTGACATACTTAATTTAATAAATGTTCATTAACATTAAATAATTTATTTATCATTAAAATTAATTCCGTTATATTTTACTCACTATTAACTTATTTTGTTTATTATAAAACATTGAAAATAAATGTTAAACCTGATTTTAGTTCTTTTATTTTAATCTAAATATAACCCCTCATATCCGGACGTTGTAATCAATTCCTCATATCCGGAAGGCCTTCTTAGTCCGTTTGTCAGGGATTCTACTGTAACCTCGAATTTTTACACGATGATCAAGATTTTATATTTAACGGAAGAGGACAGTACGTGCTTATCTCAATGAGAATCTGTCAGAGAGATGGATCAGGTGTGGTGGAGATGAAGACAGTTTTCCGATGAAATGGCCGCCGCAGTCACTGGACCTGTCCTCGTGTGATTTTATGGGGATATGTTAAGGGACTGGTCTATGTCACCCTCTTCCTGCTAGCATTGATAAACCCAAGCAGAGAATTACTTCCGCACTGGATAATGTTACGGGAGACATGCTACAGCGTGTTTGGCAAGAGCTTAACTACCGACTTGACGTGTGCCGTGTCATAGGCGGTGCACATATGAACACTTATGAAATCGGTCCCATAATAAACTTATGATGTTCAACACCTAAACTGTTCAATTTCATTAAGCTAGACTTCGAAGTTTTCAAGATAAATGCTTTTAAATTGATGTCAATTTTTTTGAGCACCCTATATATATATATATATATATATATATATATATATATATTACAAATTTACTTATTTAAAAATATGGCTCCATCGCTACACAGGAATTGCCATGTTTCAAAAACAGAAGCTAAAAGCTTCAAATTCAATTACAATTGTAAATAATGACAACACCTAACTCCAGAAATTCAGAGAGTTTTCGTTTATTTGACAATATGCAATCAAATCCGATCTCATATACCACCTAAGCATCATTAACAGAATTAACTCAGGAATGGAATCTGCTGTACACTTCAACATAGCATCGAGATTCCACACTAAATCCCAATTCACAAAATGGTGGTGCAGTAGCCCCGATATTATACACTTGTTTATAGGATAGCCTTTTCTAGGAGTTATTCTAATGTCCGGATCTCTAATTATCAGGTGCATAATGTCAGCCCTGACAAGCGTTTTCCTTGTTGAAGAGTCAACCTATCCAAGATTGGAAAAAAAACCCCAAAAAACTATAGACATTCCAAACGAAGAGAAAAACAAACTGACGTTTACTCAAGAATCAGCCAACAGAACGTCATGTTTGTCATGCCGAAGCGGGTCTCAAGCAACGGGACAGGCTCATTCGTGAGTGAAGACTAAAGAACCTACTAGGAGAATCGGGTTTACAAAGGTTGCGTAACCAGGAACTGTTTTGGATGTTCAAGAACCTCACCTTCATTTAAAGAGGTCATCTCCAGTATCTAATTCCACCCGGAAGAAGGCAGAGTAATCGCCTACAGATATATATTCGAATATATTCCATATCTTTCACGTTAGATATAAAAAAGGAGTTGGTGTTGTTTTGAGTTGTACTTTTAGAAATGTTTTTGCGGAATCAGCTTTAAAATGTTTCCGCTTTGACAAACCCTATACACGACATTATCCTCAAAAAAACAGGTAAGGTGAATTATTTCAATCATCACAATGTTAGAGCTTTTCAAGTTTCTCATTGCTGTTCGATTAGACTTCTGAGATAATGTTGTCATGATTTTGAGAGGTATTATTAGACATTAGTGAAAACTTAAGTTGCAATTAGTAAAAAAAGAAACTATTTTGTATCCCATATTTCAGTGAATATATCAAGTCAGTTGTAGATTTTTCTATGCCAAGGTCTAAGAAATGAACGCGAAAATATACAAATTTAAGCATTCTCTTCCTCTCTAGTAATAACATCTATCTATCTATCTATCTATCTATCTATCTATCTATCTATCTATCTATCTTATTTTCAGACAAATGATTTTAATTATCTAAGTTCATAAATGCCAAATAAATTTGATAAGAATTTAGGCTTTTCACCATTGAAATATAAGAGAAAAAATTCTCTTATAAGTCTAAAAAATTAAATTGGAGAAGTTTATGAAATGAAATATAAATGAATTGGACTTTTTCTGTTCAAAACAATTCGTATCCAATATATATATATATATATATATATATATATATATATATATATATATATATATGTGTGTGTGTGTGTGTGTGCTTGTTTTTTGTATGTATATATATGTATATATACAGACAGCTATATGAATAGACATTGTTCTTGTTTCATATTGTTTTTTTACAGATATGTTGTAGTTATATATGATTTTTTCGCGCACCTATATAGATCGATCAACACACACACATACTCATATATATATATATATATATATATATATATTATATATAATATGCATATATTCACGAACATGCATATAGGTTGCAATTTGTAAACTGTAGCCATTTTATATTTTTTTTATTTCGCGCATGCGCGTTGTTTATGATTTTGTCAACTGCACATTATAGTAGAGTCAGTTGGGAACCTTCCGTGAGAAAAAGAGCACCATGACGTAATTCTATTAGCCAGAAATTTGGAAATGTTATGCTGTACTGCTTGACATTCGCGCTGGAACCTCCAATTCAAACATTTCAGAGTGTTTGGGTGTCAATCTGAGGACAGTGCAGAGGATTCGGAAAGAGTTCGAGGACTCTAATGGTGATTACGAAGGTACGGTAGCTCGAGAAACTCACTCTGATCGTTCTGATAAGAAAAGGATTTCCGAATTTGTTAGTGATGGCCTCAGACTCACCACTGAAAACATAGTGCTGCCCCGGGTCAAGAGGGTGGCAGCTGGAAGACTCTTTGTCTGGCAACAGGACTCTGCACCATGCCATGCAAGGAGAAGAACCCAGTCATGGCTGTCAGACTATTTCTGCAACCACATTACCTCTTACATCTGACCATCTAAATCGCCAGACGGCAACCCCTTTGATTATTATGTGTGGGGCGCAGTTGAGTGAGAGGCCAACAAAACTCCTTGTCACACCAATGATGAAAAGAAGGCAGATATTATGGTAGCATTCAATCAACTTAAACAAGAAGACCATCCAGAAGAGCTGTAGGAGATTCCGAAGTCGTCTGGAGGCCGTGGTTGAAGCCAACGGCGATTTTATTGAATAAATTTACTTTTTAGTATTTCAAGGTATCTTTGTGTAATTTTGGTAAATATATCCGATGTAAGGATGTCAGTATTATTTTCGTTTTTGAGTAATTTAGCCGATAATTTATCCATCACACCCTGTATATATACACAGGTAGATAAAAAAAAAAAAAAACGCTCATATACTATCCATACCTCGCACCGCACGCGTACGCATACACACACACATACACTCATATATATATATATATATATATATATATATATATATATATATATATATATATATATATATATATATATATATGTGTGTGTGTGTGTGCGTGTATGTTTGTGTGTGTGTGTCTGTATGTATGCATGACATATCCACACGTTCAAGCGTATTCATACATTAATCTTAGTTGATGCTTTCTGTTTTAATTTGATTATAGCAGAAGTGTCTAATAAATTTAATTTTACTGAAGTTAGTCTTTTGACTATTGAAATTTACAACAATGAGACTTTACAAGTTAAGGAAATTAAATTGGCAGAGTTTTTTGTCAAACCAAAATCAATTGATGGAATGGACAGCATGAGGTTTAACTGTTCATAATTTCTTGGGGGTAACGAAATTCCTTGGGGGTAACGAGAGACACAAGGACAGCATATATGACGAACATATATATATATATATATATATATATATATATAGACATGCATATATATATTATATATATATTATGATTATTATATTATATATATATTATAATTATTTTATTATTTTTTAAAAAATATGATTCCATCGCTACACAGGAATTACCATGTTTCAAAAGCAGAAGCTAAAAATTTACAATTCAATTATAGAAATTAAATTAAAGTACGCTTGTTCGCTTTGAAAAAGAAACAGAACTAGGTACTTTAATTTAATTTTTATAGTCGAATTGGAAGTTTTTAGCTTCTGTTTTTGAAACATGGTAATTCCAGTGTAGCGATGGAATCATATTTTTAAAAAAAGATAATTATAATTTAGGTTCCATTTGTGTATTGAGAACTGTTTTTTTTTTTTTTAAATAAAAGCAAAAATACTAGAGAACTTCGGATTATTAACCAAACGGTTTTTTACTATTTTATCAATATATTTGCACACACACACACACACACACACACACACACACACACACACACACACACACACATATATATATATATATATAGAGAGAGAGACTGCGTTCAAGCATGAAACAAATTGTGTCTACTTTTATATTGTACATTGATATACCCACTGTCTTTGATATTGAATAATTTTACCCATAAATACAGCGTACCTTAAAACTATGTTTTTATCACACACTCACACACACACACATACACACACAAGCATATGTGTGTGTGTTTCTGTGAGTGTTACGATGAACAAAACTGAAAAGGCATTTTTCTTTCGTTTTTCTTTAGTTTTTCTTGTTTGCATACATGTGTCTTCTTTCCAGGACTTAATGATTGTAACTATGCACAAATCTTTATTAGTTCTGACCGCTTTCGTTTAATTTTTTAGCCATTTTCAAGGATTCATTTTGTTATACTACTATAATAAACCGCGTGTAAGTTCTATTGTAGACTGTACAAAGCTGATTGCAACAACAAAAAAAAAAACAACAAAAAAACGGAAAAAAAAAGTATTCTTTATTTCTAAACATATTCATTACATTGTACCCGTGTTCATAATCAATGTTATTAAGGAGTAGTATCATGTATTTTATAAGGGCTTCCATCGCATTTAAATGCTTTTTACAAAGGGAGGAAAAAATTCGTATTCTCGGCTAGTATCATATCTGCTGAGATTGGTATGATTCCAAATAGGTTTAAATATGTCCATATTGAACACTGCTCGGAGAGATTTAGTTTCAATCGTCTTGGATAATTTTACAGTCACCAATTTCAGAAAAGAAAACACCTGTACGTATACAAGAAAAACAATAAAAAAGGTTCATAGTCATTCTTGTTCAGCAAAATGTGCATTAACACACACATACACACACACACACACACACACACACACACACACACACACACACACACACACACACATATATATATATATATAAATACTATAAGAAAAAAGTTTCGGGCCACTGCATTTCTTTAAAATTAGATATATTTTAAAGTAAAAGATAAAATTTCACTAACTACAGTATAATTGCTTTTATCTTTCAATTTTTCTTCAGTTTCTTCTTACTACCAAAAAGTTCAAATCTGGATTCGTCTGCCCACGATACATTTTGCTAAATTATGAGTGTTTTCTATGAGAAACATATTTTGTTTTCACCCTTAACCCCACAGAAGACATTTTGAGATTGCCAAAAGGGCAGCAGATTAGATTCAAGTCAAAGGAATCTTGAGAAAAGAACAATACTCGTTTTTGCATAGACATGCTAGACTATCTGGTTCACGCATAATTGAAAAAAAAATAATCTCCTTTCAGCAAGACGACGATACAAAACAATTTTCAAAATTACCTCGAGTCAAAAAGAAAGAAACAAAATTTTAGAAATTATGACTTAACCGCCTCAGTCTCTTGACCTCTCTCCCAATGAATTAGTATGGGATTATTTTCATACGAGAGCTCGAAGAGAATATCAAAAGAGTGAGAGTAAGCTTTTTTTTAAACTGCTGGAAAGAATGCCAAGAATTTCAAAAGTAGTAATTAAAGCAGGTTGTTGTTTTACTGATGAAAACAAAATATGATGGTGTTATATGATAATGTTTTATAGTTAAATGCCTAATTTTGTCGAAATAAAAGCAAATACTCTGTAGTTACTGAAATTTTATCTTTTACTTGAAATAAATACAAAATTATCTCATTTTAAGATTTTTTTTTAAAGGAAATTGAAGGTATCACCAAACTTTTTGCCTGTAGTATATATATATATATATATATATATATATATATATATAGAGAGAGAGAGAGAGAGAGAGAGAGATTACAGTGGTTGGAGTAAAAATCATTCTTGTTAGTAGTTTTCCTGTAAAACATAAACGAAAGTTTATTGTGGTTTCTACGTAACATGATATCTAGAAAGGGTATGGTGTGTTTGGGCTCAGGTTCAATGGTGAAGTTTATTGTGATGTTGACATTTAGTTTGTTGAGAAGATCGGGTAGTATTGTGTTTTGTGGAACCCACAATAAACTTCAATTTTGAACGACATATTATCCTTTATAGATATCACGTTACACAGAAACAATAACGAACTTCTGTTTGAGGTTCACAGGAAACCTATTAACGCACACACACACACACACACACACACACACACACACACACACACACACACACACACACACACACACACACACACACAAGAAGAAAAAATCGATGAATAATGAATTTTTACAAGAAAATATATAAAAGACGATATAGTTTCCACTTAATTACAATACCACCTAAAAGAAAGGAAGGAATGCAGAATTTCAAATTATTATAAAGTATTATAATTAAAATTTTAAAAATGAAAAATTCCTGTAAAAATACATTTTTTATCGAAAAATTGTTTTTCCTAAGACAATAGTATGCTTAATAAATCTTATTTATAAAAGCAATTAAAAGCTTCTTTAATTAAATAATGTTATAGTTTTATTGAATTTTTTAGTTTACAATTCGGTGAAGATTTTCGGAAAAACAGCATTAGTTTGAATAAAAATTAGGTTATTTACATTCTCCTAGGAGTCCAATTTTTAAGTAATAAAAAACCTTTGGAAAGAAAATTTAATTTCTCGAAATTTGATGAAATTAAGTAAGTATGTAAAAATATTTTTTACCAAGATTTTCAAAAGCAAAGAATTTCAAAAATAAT